TAGCTAAGAGAATATGCCATCCCCTTTTCCTTATGAATCAGGGGAAGTCTCTCTCAGGGAGGAGTGATAGGGAATGGCAAGGGACACACTGACAAAGGAGATTAATCAGAACTGGCTTCGACAAGCACAGGGGCAATTGGACAATTAAAACAGACATGGGGGGGGAAGAAGAACAAACTGGGGAGGAGGGTTGAGAAAACAGTGCAACAATGTATGAATGAAAACCCAAAATCTCTGTAAATGTTCATTAAAACTAATAAAATTTAATAATAAAAAAATTGCTTCATATGCATGTGAAGGTAAGATAATAAGGAACACCAAAGAAGAATTGGTGGCTTTGGATTGTGGTATTGGTAAAGAATATTGAAATATTATGGACTGCTCAAAGAACCAACCAATATGTCCTAGAAGAAGTGTAGCCCCTCAACTAGCTCAAGAAAAATTAGTCCCATTAATACTTGCTCAAAGAACCAACCAATATGTCCTAGAAGAAGTGTAGCCAGAGTGCCTTAGAAACAAACATGGAAAGACTGTCTTACATACCTTGGGCATGTTATCCAGAGGGTAGCTCTTGGAAAAAAATATCATGCTTGGAAAAGTTGAGGGTTGGAGAAGACGAATACCATCAACAAGATGGATTGTCACAGGGACAGTAGAAGTGGTGAGGATGGGACAGAATTGGAAAAATGTACTATATATTGTACATGTGGTTGCTATGAGTCAGAGACAACTTCATGGCACCAGTTAGAAACAATATGATCTAGAGAGTGATTTCCTCTTCTCTTCCCATCCCTGGTAACTACAAATGAACACTTGTCTCTGTATGTATGTTGGTATGTATGCATTCATGTATATGGGTGTGTCATACATAAAATATATGTTATATATATTATTCTTGTCTTCTTATCAAAATGAGATTACATAATGTTTGTCCTTTTGTGATTGGCTTCTTTCACTTAGCTAATTGTATGTCCTCTAAACCCATGTGCTACACATAGATTTCATGGACTTATCATTATTTTTTATGATAATGTGGTATCTTATTAACGTACCATATTTTGCTTACCTATTTATCTGTTATGGGCACTTAGATTGTTTCTATTTAACTAATTTATTTTTTGTTATTGTGAATAATTTGGTAATGAACATAGTTGTGACTATTTCACCTTGTGTCTGTTTAATGACATCTTTTTGAGGAATATATTCCATAGTGGTGATACCATTTTCTAGTCTCCCCAGCAATGAATAAACAAGAAGATTGTGTCGAGGAATTTTTTAATACACAGATATCATTAGCTAACACTATGGCATCCACAGAGGGAAATTTGAATCAATCCTTCCTTGTATGGAAATTACTGTCCATGTTTAGCACATGAGGATCCTGAGAAGCTCTAATTTATCCAAGGTTGTTTAGTTGGATAGAGTTGTCCCAAACTAAAACCCTTTCTCAATCTCCTCTTCCAAGCCTCAGGGCAGCATGACTTCTAATTCATCTGGATGTCATCATTGCTGGCTGTAGCATGACTGTGGAGCCAGGATAGAGACCTTAGATGCCTAAAGAAGAATGGAAGTGGTGATGATTCTCTTGGATCATCATTCCTGAAGAGGAAGGATGTAGTCATTGATGAGATGTGCTCTTTGTCTTCTGTGTCTATGGATATGGGGGCCCTTTGAAAAAGGGCTTCTGTCTCTGATACCCAGGAGACAGGACAGATATTGGGGGGTTCTATATTTGCAATATAGGGCTTCAATAAGTTTTCAAATCTATCAGTAAGGGTGTAAATAAGGGACTTATCACTTATGTTGAAGAAGGAAATGGTCCCACCTTCATAATCTAGGAAGATACCCACTTTTGTAGGATTGGTTTTAGGGTATAGGGTGGTTTTGTTGGGATTCAATGTAAAATATTCATTTTCTGGGGTCCGTCCAATTACCCAGTATCCACATATGGTAGACAAAGTTCCTCCATTCTTGTCCATGTTATCCTGACACACTCCCAAGAACCACTTCTTTTCTTGTTCTACATTAACTTCCCAGTAATGCTTCCCTGAAGAGAATCCCTGAAAGGCTACAAGACAGTCTATAATTACGTATTTCTCCCTTGAGTCAGGTGTGTCCTGAAGAATATGTAAATGTATTGCAGCTTCCTGATCAGAAAAGTGGAGTTTGGGGTGAGCTGTATCCAGGTCCAGAGCCTCCTCCACTGGGCACAGTTGAGAAGAGATAAAAAAAGGAAGAGAACACGAATTACTGGAGAGGAACCTGGTAGATTCAGAGATCACTTCCTCTTGCCACAGACTGCCTCAAAGTAAAATGAAATAAATTCTAGAGCCAGAGACTCCATCAGATACTTCCTTGCCAGTCTTCCCTTATTCTCCTTCGTATTCTAAAGTCTTTACCAGTGTTCTGCAGATGCTTTCATTTGAACTCATAAATCCTTGTATATCCTTTGAATCCTACCATCATCCTTGCTTGTAAATGGACTAATTTGCTGAGATCTTAAGAGTCTATCATATTGAGCTTCCTCCCATCCATCTGTACTTTTATTTTTTAAAATCGATTTTAATGAAGTTTACGAAGACTTAGGGTTTCCATTCATTCATTGCTACACTTTTCTCCCTACTCACTACCCCCTCCTAATTCACTCTTCTCTTTGAAAAGTAAAAGAAAAGTTATTTCAGTGTTATACAATCCCTCCCCCCAAGTCCACTCTACTGTGCAACCTTCATTCTGTACTCCTGTCATGACAATAATACCTAATCATATATCCCTTTTAAACAGTTCTCTCCCACATCTGTTTCAATGCAGTACACATTATTTAAACCCTCTCTTTCAGTCTCTGATGTCAGTACATTTTAAAACAATGGTCCTATGTAATATTTGTCCTTTTGTGACTTAGATATTTCCCTCTGCATAATATCCTCCAGGGTCACTCATTTTGTATAATATGTCATGAGTTCCTTGTTTTTCAATGCAGCACAGTATTATTCAATTGTGTGAATATACCAGAGCTTCTCTATTTGTTTTTTGATGGACACTTGGGTTGTTTCCAACACTTTGCTGTTCTGAACAAAACCCCAGTAAACATGTGTGTGCATATATCTGCTTGGGTAGTTGTGGTTTCTTTAGGGTATATTCTCAGTAGTGGAATTGCTGGGTCAGATGGTATTTCTATTTGCAAGTTTTTGAGAAAGTTTCATACAGCCTTCCATGATGATTGCACCATTTTACACTCCCAGCAGCACCAAATAAGGGTTCTAATTTCTCCACAACCCTGCCAGGATTTGCTGTATTTTTCTGTTGAATTTTGCTATTCTTACTGAAGTGAGATGATATCTCATAGTTGTTTTGATTTGCATATCTCTTAGGCTAGGGATTTTGAACATTTCTTTATGTGCTTATTGGCCATCTGAATGTCTTCTTTGATGAAGTGTCTGTTCATAACCCTGTGCCCATTTTTCAACTGAGTTATTTACCTTTATCTTTTCATGGTGATCGAGTATTTCACAAATTCTAGATATAAGTCCCTTGTCTGATATGTCATTACCAAATATTTTTTTCCCAGTCTGTGGCTCCCCTTTTTACCTTATGTGAGAATATTTTGGATGTGCATGATGATTTGATTCTTTTTTTTATAATTTTAATGAACATTTACAGAGAATTTGGATTTCCATTCATTCATTGCTGCACTTATCTCCCCGCCCAGCCCTCTCCCCCCGCTCCCCAGTTCGCTCCTCTCTTTCAAAAGTAAAAGAAAGACTCCCTCCCTGGTACACAATCCCCCCGCAGGCCTCCCACCGCCCCGAGTACATTCCACTATGCAACCTTAATTGTGGACTCTTGTGATAACCATAATACCCTATCATACATCGCTTTTAAATTATTCAATCCTTCATCTGTTTCAGTGCAGTATACCATTCATCTATTTTATCCTCTCCTGGTTGTAGATTTTTCCAGGATTTTGGAAGACTGTGTTGTGGATTAAGACTTCTAGAGTTCTTCCAAGCTTTCCTTTAATGAAGTTTATAGTCCTTGATTTTAATCCTAGGTTCATAATCCACTTTGAGTTGGTTTTTGTGTATAGAGTGAGGTGTGGATATTGCTTGAGTTTTCTGTAGATAGTTTTCCAATTTTGCCAGCACCATTTGTTAAAAAGGCTGTCGTTTCTTCACTTAACTGATTTCATCTCCTTGTAAAAAATCAGTTGACCCCAGGTAGATGGACTAATTTCTGGATACTCAATTCTATTCCATCGATCTATGTGTCTGTATTATATCAGTACTGCGCTGTCATGACCACCACAACAATGTAGAAGGATTTGAAATCAGGGAGTGAAATGCCTCCTACCTTGTTTATCTTTTTTTTCTTTACTAATTTATTTATAAAATTCAAATAGAAATTTGAACAAATTCTTTCCATTTTTCTCAACCACCCACTCATGAAATTGTACAACCAAATGATTAAACCCTCTTTCCCCCTACACATCCACATCCCTCTACTTCCAGCCTCTTCCACCCCTCCTGGATGCTTATACTCATTCTACAATAACGCTTTTATACAATATGTATCCTTATATGACTGAGTTAGCTCACTCAGCATAATGTGCTCCAGTCTCTCCCAAGTTAGGCAATAATTTACAAAGTTATTGCTCCTGCATGATGCATAGTATTCCATTGTGTGAATGTACCATAATTTTTCAATCCATTCGTTTGTGGTTGGACATTTGGGCTGTTTCCATGTTCTTGCAATGGTGAGTAATGCTGCTATGAACATTGGTGTACAAATCTCAGTTTTTGCCTCAGTTCTCATATTTTCAGGTTATATTCCAAGTGGTGGAATAGTGGGGTCATATGGAATTTCTGTGTTCAGCTTTTTTTAATTAATTAATTTATTTATTTTTCATTTCAATGAACATCTAGAGAGATTTTGGAATTCCATTCATTCATTGTTGCACTCCTCTCCCCGCCTACCCCACCTCCACCCCTCCCCCCATTTGCTCCTCTCCTTGAAAAGCAAAACTCTCTCATATGTTCAGCTTTTTAAGGAAGCGTCAAACTGCCTTCCAGAATGGTTGTAAATTTTTATCATTTTTTATGTGTGTATCATCAAATCAGATCTGACTGGTTGTTGTTGTTGTTGTTGTTGTTATGTGCCGTCGAGTCGTTTCCGACTCATAGCGACCCTGTGCACAACAGCCCTAAACCCTGTTCTATCCTGCGCCCACCGCACCGCCCCTGACACACCCATCCCGATTACCCCAGTCACCGAATCAATCCATCTCATAGAGGGTCTTCCCCTCCTGCGCTGTTCCTCCACCCTCCCAAGCATGATGGCCCTCTCCAAGGACCCGTCCCTCCTGGCAACATGTCCAAAGTATGTCAGACGAAGCCCCAG